TGTAGCGACATCCTGCTTCACAAATGGCTGCTGTTTAAGCCCTGCAAAGACCAGAAACCATGTAAGGCATGAACATTAATGCCAGTAACTTATAACAAATTCAGGAGAGGTTCGGGGCATACAGTTTATTGCACATAGCTCAGGACTTTGACCTCAGTGAATCAGACTGGGTCAAATGTTAATTGTGACAACGGCAACTGCATTGTTAGCTGTACAGATTTCAATATATAAGTCTACGTGACAAGAGAAGTACCTTGTTTATGTCAAAAAGTAGTCTATATTGAGAAAAAATAGCTGAAAACCCCCAAACCTTGACTTTAAGACAGCTGCTCAAATCTACAGTTAAAGTTACATAATGTATCCTAATATTGTAAACCATACTGTATAATATAGCGAATTTGGTAGTACTGAGTATTTAGCTGCCCAGAAAAGAACTAACATTATATGCAGAAATCAAACAATATTTGGCTAAATTAGCGTTAGCCGGTTTTTATCCAACACAGTAGGACTCTAAGGTTTGTCATAAAAACTGAGTACCGATTACTCGCGATAAATACAACGAAATATCTGTACCTTGTGTCGTTTAGGCTGATTGAAGTTCACGAAGTTAAAAGTTAAAGCCTTTTGTGAAGAGCCGTCTGTTCTCTTTCACTTCCACTTTCTGTTCAGGTTTATAATGGGAATCTCCTCCCTTTAACTTTCAGTTTCCTATCAGATGTTCTGCCATGTAGGGTCTCAAAGTCACGCCCTACACTGGCCGGTTAGCTCAGTTGGTTAGAGCGTGGTGCTAATAACGCCAAGGTCGCGGGTTCGATCCCCGTACGGGCCACGAACTTTTTCACGTGTATTGTACTCGTAATTGTTCAAAGTGCTTTTAACAATGATGTTTTTTTAAGCTATGTTATCAGTTAAACAGTTAGGCTCGAGTACTAATTACTTTTGCATACTGAGTCTTTGTAGAGCCACTTTTTTGTTGCCAAGTTTGGGGGAAAAAACAACAATATTGATACCAACACTGGTATTGGTTTTGGACTGATACTAGTGTGATTGGATCGATAGGATAAGATACCGTTATAGGTTTAGTATCGGCCCCAGTGCTTACTTGGTATCCAAATATTGCAGCACTACTCCCGGAGCAGCATAAACTGGATCTAGCTAGAATACAAAGTGAAGTGGGTGGCGTTATTACGTAAATGAGCAAAAAGACAGGTACATCATTATCACTACATTAAGAAACATATGCCACAGAGCCCAGGAGTCTGACAGCTTCATTAAACAGTATCTGCAAAACACCAGCCTGAATTAATGTCAGCACTAAAAATGTGACCGTATTAAGGAGAGGGAATGAAACAGTACAGCATACTACTGCAATATTATATCAATACAGGGACACCAAGAGGGCTCATCTCATGCACCACCATCCTGATATAATTTTAACCAAGTACAGTTTCATTAAATCAGCTCACCTGAAAAACCACCCAACAGTGCACACACTTAGCTCAACAAAGTATCTGATAATTCAGAGCAAACTAATAGCACAGTCACAATGCTGTTGTTGTGTTGCACACACGATTACTTTTTATCTCAAGGCAATTTCACAGGCCGCCAAATAGTAGGCAACCGTTCTGCAAACAGTCACAGTCTGACTTGGGCTGGCTGCAATCACAGATTGTCAAAGGTTTGCCAATAATTGCTGTCTAATTTATAAATGCAGCCACATTTCCAAACATGTTACTGGTTATATTCTTGTAGAGCAGGAAGCTTGCCGAGTGCAAATGTAATAGTTAAATGTGAATTTCTGTCTTTAGACGGCAACACTTTATTATCAGAAACAGATTGCATGTTATTTCCAACTAGACCACATTTAATTTCAGACTGATGAAATTGATTCTGTCTTATGAAAAAAGAAAAATATCTGGGACCATCTTTAATCAGTGTGAAGGAAGCGTGATGGTTTGGTGGTGCTTATGTGATTGTAAAAACAAGGAAATGTATCGCTCCATTTTGAAAAGCCACTCAATTTGCTATGGATGCTGCTTGACTTTGGAGTAAATTTCCTCCCAAAACAGCACAATGATCTGGAGCCCAGCTCAAAACTACACAATCCCGCAATTCTATCCATAATCAATTGTCCGTCACAGCCACTGAAGGTCAACCTTAGTCACGTGACATTTTTTGAGTTTCCCCTCAAATGTCTCAGTGATAATGCACGTTGCTTAGATACAATTCTGAAATGAAACAATTTGGTCTCTTTATAAAGCACTGTATCTATGCTACTGTACTATATTTTATGTCAACTATATGAGCTTTGCCTATCGGCCACAGCTTCCAAGACTATCTCTTAGTGACACACAAATGGGAAATTACTTAAACTTAAAATATTCAATTCAATTCAATTTTATTTATACAGCACCAAATCACAACAACAGTCACCTCAAGTCGCTTTATATTGTAAGTTGAAAACTCTACAATAATACATACAGAGAAAAACCCAACAACCACACGACCCCGTATGAGGAAACACTTTAGCCACAGTGGGAAGGAAAAACTCCCTTTTAATAGGAAGAAACCTCTGGCAGAACCACGCTCAGGGAGGGCGGCCATCTGCTGCAAACTTTTGGGGTGAGAGAAGGAAGGCAGGATAAAAGACATGCTGTGGAAGACAGCCAATATGTCTGTTCTAGTTCTTATTCTTAGAAGTCATCAGTTTATGGACTTTGATATGACAACAATGATATTTATTGTAATTCTTCTTTTATTTTGGTAAATACAGCAGATCACCTTTCTTGTTTCCATATAACAATAGCATGAATAAAAATCTAATAATCGAAGAGTGATACAGTCGGGATACGAAATTAACGTTTTAATAACGTAAACAAGATACATCCAGCATTAACTATTGGAAAATATTGCACCAGCTGTGTCAGCTTGTCTGCTGTTGGCCCTGCTATGACACATTGGTTGATAAACAGGCACATGGACATCGCCTATCCAGTTTTTTCTACCTTACTGGACTGTCAAGGTCTTCCTGGACAGAAGTGCTTGGACATAAGAATGCAGAGGTTCTGCCCACACTTCCAGCACTGTTGCTTGATATGTTGGGCGCCCTGCTGTGTCTTTCTCTTGCAAAGGGGACACACATCAGCAGAATCACCATCTCCTCTTCCAGACTTTTTGGATGTTTTTGCAAGAAGCTCCTGAAGCTCTGTCCTTATGGTATCTGGTGCATTTGCAATGGCCACCACAGTCACTCTTTTGGGATCAAACACACAATCTTCCTCCATGCCACTTTTCACAGATATCATGCCACATTTGGGGGGCACCCAGGCAGTGTCGTAGCCATGTGTGTGCCATGTGAGCTGCATAGGATGGTTGTCCTTGTCAATACGTTTGACGCGGCCAACGCGCACACGCAGCTCGAGAACCACACGGTTTGAAGAGCTGCTGTTCTTTGGATAACTGGCTGCTTTTTTCTTATCACGGCTGACATAGACACCCCTTCCCAGCATGCCACTTGATGATTGTTTAAAGCCATTTGCAATAATGAGACGTGCACTGGCAACGCTGGTCCCATGGTACATAGTGTAGACTCCCCGGTTCTGAGGTCTCTGCGACGGCTCTAGCAACACACCAGTATAAGAGGCACCATCGTCTACCACCTCCCAGCCATAGAATTGCACAGACATCCTGATATGAGAATGGCCTGCAGAGGATGACGAAGATTTGCAGCTGTGAAACACAAGAATGCAATAATTTGTATATTTTGATGAGCAAGAAGAAGAAGGAAAAATCATTTTCACTACTAATAACTACGCTCACTACTAGTAACTCACTGCTAACTAACTACTAATAACTAAAGATGACAGCATGAACATAAAACACTTTCAGAACTACCATTTCCTGAATGTTTCTCATTTTTCATGTTCACGTTCACATTCACATACTGTACACCTGTGCAATTACTTCTCACTTTTAATGTGTCCTCTTCATCCTTTGTTTCTTTTTGTGTATATTTAAAGACTATCTTGCTGTATTTCTTTTATAGCTTTTCGTACCATAGCTTGCTCTTCCCAGTGTACTTCATTCCTTCCTCATATTCTTAGACTAAATCTCCCGTGTGAGCGTAGCTTTCTTCTACAGCATAATTATGTACCCCCATGTAGAAAAAGGCTGTCTCATAACTACTTTATCAATGTAGCTCAAGGCTGATTAACGTTAAAAACGTGAACCTTACCGTAAATACGGAGAAGTTTTGTCTGTTTGTGTCCTTTAACTTTCTGATCAGTAGGTTTCGTTTACGGTGTTTGATTACGTCACTCAATGGTATGTGTTTTTTACCGTCAGGGCTAGGCCGGTTAGCTCAGTTGGTTAGAGCGTGGTGCTAATAACGCCAAGGTCGCGGGTTCGATCCCCGTACGGGCCATGAACTTTTTGTTTCTTTTGTTATCCTTCAGGTTTCAGACTGCTGAAAGATTGAGGCCTTCACTGACTGATTACCGACGCAACATAATCAATTCATATGAACTCCTGATTATTGGCCGAGCCGAATAACAAAAATCGATAAGTTACTGTCTCATCATGGTTGCTTTTAACATTATTTTAATATCTGTTAGGTCACACCATTATAGATTAATAAAGGAGTGTTGCAGGGGAACGTAAGAGCACAATGAAGTGAACAACATCACGACTAGCCAAACGTATCACGTGGCCCACCAATGCCCCTGCGTCCACCTCCTTCTCGAGATGTGTGTGGCCGAAATAGCTCAGTTGGGAGAGCGTTAGACTGAAGATCTAAAGGTCCCTGGTTCGATCCCGGGTTTCGGCAGTGTTTTGTATATGCCCCCCAACACCATCACGAGATCAAAAATCTAAAAAAAATTATACGATAAACGGAAGTACTCCTGCAGTTGAGGTCTGTAAGATGAAAGTGATTGACATCTGTTTACAGAAACATACAGGTATTTATATATTTAAAAAATACATCATTTATTAGATAATACTAAAATAATATTCAAAACACAAGTTTATCAGTGTGATATCATTTAAGTACAATGGTATTTAAAGGTTTTACAGTCAATACATTGCAAAGTTAAAAATGTAGTGAGTTGTGAAAAGGTAGGTATCTTACTGTGAATAGCAGCTCTTTGTGATTTGCTAATATACAGTACTTACTGGATCATTTGCCTGGTTTTTAAAGAGCAGGTAGATTAAATACAGTTAAAACAGCATTGTTTTTTTATTTTTAAAGATGAATGTAGTAACACCCAGAGGGTTTTACTTCCAAGCCTTTGATCCAAGCTTTTGCTTCAGGATAGGTGTGACAAGAAAAAACAAGTTCCTCTTCAGCGTATGTCACTAGTACTTGAGCACCTTGCTGCGGATGTGGCTGATATCCTTCTCAAGCTTCTCCTTGTCAAGGCGAGATTTGATGTCACATATCTGACTCAGTGATTCAATTGCATCATGCACAGACTGGAACCCTATTCAAACAGAGGCAGGGTGCATAAATCATCACTGAACATAAAGCATCTGAGGTGAAAATAATTCAGGTCATTGTTGCTGGATGAGGGATGTGCTATGATGGTACTGGAAGGACTTTCCTCCTGTGGGCTCATAACATTAAGTCTTTAAAAACCATCCTAGTTCTAATTTTGAAAGCGTACTGCATTCAACCTGTCATATTTGTGTTTTACTTTTGATTTATTGACATCCTTCATCTTGCTCTGTCTCTTGTCCCTGTGGTCTCCCCCCCCCCTATTCTATGCTTAATTGCTCCCGATCATTACTTATATTTTTAATACCTAGTTAATTATGTAATAGTACATAGAGCTGATGCATTTTTATTACAGAATGTATTCTAGGAAGTAACAGACTGTGGGGTTGAAAGGCTCCCTTTGAGATATTAAGTATCTTCTCTTTCCAGCTCCATAACTCAATGTCTTTCTTGCCACGAATATTTACAACTCTCATCAATTATGCATTTATTCTCTCATACCATCTCCTTCTTTCTTTTCATCCCACACTTAAAATAGCACAGTGGATGAATGGCTCTGGAGTGCTGTTAGCAGTGGCTGAGTAGTGATTCATAGATCAGTTTACCCATGGTCTTATTTACCAAGGGAAGTTTGGGCACTTTTCTATATGTCTGCTCTTTAATAAGAGCTGTGGAGTGAGAGAGACTGTCAGGAAGGGAGGCAGATGTGAGATCTAGTGTCAGGCATCCTGGGAAATGAGATGAGGATGGATGTCAACAGCAGCATGATAGGGAGACGAGCTAGAGTATTTGGCAGGCTAGTTGACTGCCTATTCCTGTGGATTGGCTCGCAGCATACTAGCTGTGTTGTAACTACATATGTGCAGGATAAGATCCTTTATACTACTGTTGTACAGCCAATTATTAGACCACATGATGAGCTGGAAAGCATCCGAGCTGAACTCCCGTTTAACATATCAACACCAAGTCAGTGACTACTGTAATTAAAGGAAACAATAAACGTCTCATTTGTGGTAAAAATAAATGTTGGCTGCCTGGTGGGGTTAATCGCTTATATTCATTTTACGATTACTTATTATAAGTATTTTTCTCTTTTCCTTTCTTTCTATTTTTCAGACTCTTGTGAATTGCTCTCGCATGTCCATTATTTTCCTTGACGTGTATGGTGAAGAACATGCAGTACATGTGTGTTTGCTCTCTGATGACAGCAAGTTACCAGCAGTGATCACCCACCTTTGTGGTACTGCTGTTTGAGCAGCTGCAGCTCCTGATGAAGGTTGTTCTCCACTAAGGTTATTCTTCTGCTAAGTTTGTCTTCTGAGCGTTTCAGCTGATCATGCCGACTGCGATCAGCCTGGTTCTGCTGGATGTCAAACTTCTCCACACGTGCCTCCAGGGCAAGCAGGCGGTCAGCCAATCTAGACTCCGCCCCTAACTAAGCACAGCATACACATGAAAATTCAGTTTTTAAACTTGGCGGAGCGTAGTTATATCATTTTCATACTATAGTCCACAACATCTAAAATTAATAAATAAATCATAGCAGAGGTGGGAAGTAATTAACAGTAACAAAGTATTTGTACTTTGTTACTGTACTTAAATAGAGTAAACAGTGTACTGTCACTGCAGTGGATGAAAATCAGCCAGGACAACTCATGAAACACGTCCTGACATCTGGTTGAATTCAGTTGTATCCATCCACAAAGAGCAGCATTTCAGCGGATCATAGACTACTGGAGCTCTCAATAGGTGAGTTGTGATTCTTTTCCCACACACTGAACCTACCTTTAACCTCTTGCTTATTAATTTTCCTGTTTAGAGGCAAAGTCACCCTCTACAATCTAGGCAACAGAAAATAGACCTATTTTTTATTTTCCCTTTTTTCTCTGCTCATGTTCTACTTACCTGATTCAAGCTGAGTACCTTTGTTTAGAAAAATTCAACTTACTTCAACTTCACCTTTTACTGGAGTATTTTTCAGCACTGGTGTCTGTACTTCTACTTAAGTACAGAATGTCTGTTTACCAAAAGTGTGCCACACCATTGCACCACCAGCACCACCCTGAACCACTGATACGAGACAGGATGGATCCATGATTTATGGGGAAGAATTTGGTGTATACAACACGAATCATATATCCATCCTGTCTCGTATCAGTGGTTCAGGGTGGTGCTGGTGGTGCAATGGTGTGACACACTTTTGGCCCCTTTGAGAGACTCACCAGACCACACAACATTTTTTCCATCTCCTATTGTCTGCTTTTAGTGAGTTGTGCAAAGTGTAGCCTCAATTTCCTGTTCACTGACAACCACACCACGTTCAAAGTCAGCTGAATCACCTTTCTTCCCCATTCTCATGCAGGTCATCTTGACCATGTCAATATACCTCAATATGTAGAATTGAACATGTGTACTTAATGAAGTTTTCAGTGAGTGTACATGTCAAACATTTTTAAACCATTATGTATATTGTACCATTTTGTCTTGTAATAGTGAAACCAGCTCCTGGTTGTCCTCAGCATGTGACTGGAGAGAGCTCTTGAGCTGTTGTTCTGTCCAGGTCCTCAATTTTGCTGTTTGCTCCTTGCCCTCGTCAAGCTCTCCTGTCATTCTGCAAAGACACAAGGAATACAAAGTGAACTGTAATAGCTTTACTTCTTTACATTTAGGTAAAGATTTTTCATTTCATAAATGTCTTAGGATCTAAAAGTTTACACGGTCTTGCAACTTTCAAGGACATATCAGTTCTTTTCTGCTAGTTTAGCCCTACAGGAAATAAAGTTTGTGTTTAGAAAACCAATGCTTTATTGGCACTTCCACTTCTACTAAATAGCTTTCAAGTAAAAATGTGTGATTGTGTGATTGAGAATGAAAGTACTAAATTAATAATTTGTAATCCGTAAGTTTACTATAAAAGGAACATGCTTTAGGTTTAGCTGTTAAAAAGTCAGTGTTCATAATTTCACAGTCTGGTAATCAGACGTGAGATTTCATCAGCAACAGTGCTTCTTGTTTTGCTTAATGTCACGTCAAGCTCACCACTGAGAAATACCAAAACAGCAGTGTGAAAAACAGTGGTGGGAAATTTTGTGCTCTGTAGCTCTGAATGCTGTATTTGTATTTGGACCATATGAATATTTCTCTCTTTGTAATATCTGGGGAGGTGGTCATTGAAAGCTGCATGTGGTTCTCATTTGATGAACAGTACTGAAATGTTTCTGATGGAAGCTGCAACCAAACTGAATGAAATATTGTGTGGACTGTGTAAAACTATCGGACTCAAAAAGTACCTCGAGACCTTCTTTAGTCTTATTCCTCTTGTCTAAAGTGTCCTTGAGACAATCAGTAGACACTCGCCTGTGTGTCACTGCTGCAAATCATTTTTTCTGTACAGGTGTCACAATACTGCACTCCGTTATCATTCCAGCTGCCTAATGCAGTTCACGCTGACACTAGACAACATGACAGTTGGCTTGGCTCTTGTTAGATAAGTTTTCAGAATGCACTTGTCTGCACATATTTGAAAGTCAGCTTGTAAATGTAAAGGGGCAGTCTGTGATGCCCTTTAATTTGAAGTCCTTGTGGCCTTGTCTGGCATATTTATTTCATTTCAAATGTTTTTTCTGTTATATCTGCAGACATGGTCTCTAGTGCCCAACTGTCCCTGCATCGCCACCTCCAGCGGACACTGGATCTCGTCACTTAAAAAACAAAGGTCATCCTGACTGACTACCTTTTTGAGACTAATGAGGCCTTTAATGACTAAACTGCATCTAAGAAAATCTCCCAGCAAGTGTGGCTCAGTGTAGTCATACATGAGACAGTCAGAACAAAAAGAACCAATGACACCCAGGATTCAAAATCCAATAAACTCTCTTTGTAGACTGAACATTAATAAAAAAAAAAAAAAAATCTTTCTGACATCAGCAGTGCCTACTTTCAAAAAATGACCTGGCCACTTAAAAACAAAAAAATAAATTAGGTTGAGTAGCGTGTAGACAACATCACTCGGTATGTTTCATCTTTTCCAGCTCTATCCATCAATGGTCAAGCACAGCCTAGGTGGGTGGATGGATATATAATATATTAAATCTATAATCCAAATAAAATAAAGGAAGCCTCTTTTTTTTTTTTTGGTGCTTGTTTTCAACATTATTATTGTGACGCATTTCAGAAACACAAAAATCGCCTATTTTTATCTGTTCTTTTGGCTCTAATATGATCAGTGGGCTGCTTTCCATTGCAGGTACAACATTATTAAATAGAACATATCTATCGTTCACGTCTCTCTGTTTCTAAAATGTTTATATATTGCTTCCAGCTGACATTATTTCTCAGATGGAATAGTAAACGGACAACAAGCTTTCACCATTATTGTGCCTCCTGCATTAATATTTCAGGGTGAATGTGGCTTGGGAATGTGTAGCCCTGGAGCAGCTGTAACTATAGTTGGGAATGGTTGTAGGTAAGAATTTATGTTGGTGTTTTGAGGAACACTATTAAACAGCAAATCAACTAAGAAAGTTGTCAACTTTTCACAGTAGCTGCCAGAAAATGCATGATCAGCAGCTAAATTCATGGAATGACCTGGTGCAGTGTTGGGTGTCTCCAGGAATCCTTAGTACCACAACATTAGGTTTGTTGCATGATTAACAGTCTTACTTGTCTTCTAATAGCTTAACTTGTCTACGCAGATCAGACATCAAGTTTTTTAGGTCCTTAGAAGACTTTGTCAGTGAGGCCTCCAGTCTTCTAAGCTCAACATGAATCTGGTGACAAGAAAACACACAAACATAATCGTCAGCTTTGTTTCTGACCTTTACCCTTTTGTGTTTTCTGCTTTGCTGAGCAGACTGTGCTATGCACCACTCCTGTGGCCACTCATGACTGAGAGTTATACCGGTGACCCACTTTGTATGCGTTTTCAATTATTTTTATGGTAGGCGCTTGACCACTGGCCCACAGCTAATGTGCTGTCATCACAGTGATTTACCACCCCATACTACCAACACAACTGAAGGCTGGCTGAATCAGCGAGAGTGTTGAAGGCACTTTTGGTTGCTTTAGGTCAAGTAAAAAGCATTATAATATGTGACATACTTATCGTAATCCAGGGTTTTCATATTTTCTATAATGCTGACCTTGTCCAAAAAAAAAAAAAAGGTAGGGTTTGGGCGGGAGGTGTAGGTGGGGGTGGGGTGAAAGCTTTTTTATGACGACCTTGACATCCCATTAGAATTTATTTCCCATCTCATTTCTTTCTTTCAAACTCTGGTTATGACTGAGCCTCTGAGTTTGTTTGATAAGGTCAAACTCACTCAGCAGCAGTAAGCTCCAAATGTCATCCCATCACAGCTCAGCTAGCCATCCTCTCTTGGATAAACAGCAAAATATACTCACTGGGCCACTTTGTTAGGTACACCTGTTTAACTGCTTGTTAACTTAGTGGATTTAAGTATGTGGATGTGGTCAAGATGACGAGCTGAAACTAAATATTTGGGATGAAAGGTTATTTAAGCGACTTTGAACATGATATGATTGCTAGTGCCAGGTTGGCCTGGTCGTTTAAGAAACTGCTGATCTACTGGGATTTTCCTGCACAACCTTCTCTAGGGTTAGGGTTAAGATGACCTGAAAAGGAGAAAATATCCAGTGAGTGGAAGTTCTTAGGGTGAAAATGGCTTGTTGATGCTAAGCGTCAGAGGAGAATGGTCTAAAAGCTTCAGGCTGCTGAGAAAACAACCTGAAGTCAAATAACCACTTTCTGTATCCAAGATATCCAGAAGTTCATCTCTGAACATAGGACATGAAAAATTGAAGCAGATGGGCTACAGCAGCAGAAGACCACAAAATGTACCTCTCCAGTTACAATTTGCCTGGACTCACTAAAACTGCACAACTGAAGATGTTGCCTGGTCTGATGCAACTGCAATTGCTGTATTCAAAAGTTAGGGTCATCATTTGGCGCAAACAGGATGAAAGGATGGATCTGTCCCGCCTTGTATCAGCAGTTCAGGCTGCTGGTGATGATGGTGTGATGATGAGTATTTTCTTGTTTGCTTTGGGCCTCTTAGTACCAGATGAGTATTGTTTGGACACCACAGCCTATGCGAATATTGGCCTCCACAGTCAGGAGAGCACCTTTTGTATGTGGCAGAATAAGAGATTCAAAGCATGGATGCGCAGCTGACATATCTGTAGCAATCGTGAAATACTATCATGTCAATATGAACCAAATTCTCCAAGGAGGTTTTCTTGCACCTTGCTTAATCTATGCCACAAAAAATTCAGGCACCTCTGAAGTCAAAAGGAGGCCCAACCTAGTACTAGCAAGGTGTACCTAATAAAGTGTACAGTGCGGATAAATACTGTTCATATTACCAGGTTATGATCCTTCCAATGCATCAAGCTTTCAAATAAACGCAACCTCTCTCTACAAATGTAAAAAAATAATAATGACAATAACAAAACAGTACATTATCCTTTAGTTTGGGAATAGAGAATTCAAATGAATGAATGAATGAATATTGTGTTGAGCGTGTGTTTAGATAGAGGAGATGCAAGGGGTAATGATCATGAATGCCAGTTCATGCCAGTATGCTATCATACTGGAGAATAATGCTTTTGATGGCATCAATGTCAAAGAGATTAAAAAAAAAGAACCTAAATATGGCAAATACGTGTTACAATATTAACTTATGACTTGTGAAAACTCTCATTGGGGCACTGGTGTAGTAGCTGATTTGCACACAGTGCAAAGTTTTGCTCAACTGCTCTCGTAACTCCTTTTCTGCTAAACCCTTGTCAGCATGCATACGTTTTTTCCCCACCTTGTCCTCCAGCTCTTTGAGCTGTCCATTCACAGCTTCGCTGAGCTCTCGAACCTCCCTCTGCAGTCTGATCACCTGCTGCTCTCTGAAGCTCACGTCAGCGCTCAGCTTGGCAATGCTGGAATCACACCTGCGATAATAGGTGGGGAAGAACAGAGAGCTGGTGAGAGACCACTGAATGAGAAAAATGGGATTGAAGGGAGTTTAGGGAAGGTGTGAAGACAGAGGGATGAGCAAAAGACTAGAAAAAAAAAGTTGTATAATAGAATCACAAAATTAGAATGAAAAAATGTTACACTGCTGTTATCAATTTGCAAAGCAAGTTCATGCAATAAATAAGAAGAAGAGGCTCTGGTAAAACCTTAGCAGTGAGGATGGTTACTCTGAACAGATTTCAGTGGTCACTTGTTTGCATCTACTAATGACTCACTGGTACAAAGACGCTCCCACCCACCCAAAAAATAACTATGAGAATAAATTAACCCTCTCAAGGCAGACGTTGCCGATTTGCAACAGTTAAAAACTAACAACCTGATTACCCCACATACATATTTTATGAGTTTTTTTTTACTCAGAAAACTTAATTTGAACCTGAGAGGGTTAAGTGAGAAATCTGTTTATCACCAAAAGCAATTAGGACGTTGCAAAAACACAACTTACAGCCTCTGACTTGGAAAATGTTGCTTTTAGCAAACTTTGAATTCAGTTGAAGCGATAAGTATCAACTGCAGCAACTCTTTTAATCAGCATGGCAGTACAGCTTCCTTCCTTTCATTGCTTGGTTCAAGATGTCAGCCTGTTAAGGCTTTCTCTTACGGCTTTATTGGGCCTGCCTGTGTGAGTGCGTGTCTTTAAAATATTTGTGATAAACGATTGGTCTGAAATTTGAGTTTTTCCCTGGAGACCAGTCCAGTGCTTCTCTTAATGGCTTCACTGACCAGTGCCAACCAACACAAAAACCACTGGCCCTTAGCTTACTTGATTAATTATGAACAACATGAAAGAGGCTATCACACTGACCACTTGTTTTTCTTCTTCTCTCTTTATTGGACCCTGCATCAGCCCCATTTCCACCCCCTGAAATCTCACTGATATGCCTGCTTTGTAAATGACACATCTTTGTCTTCTATCTCTTTACACATGAAATGCACTGATCAGTGGATGCCAGAAGTGTTAGAAATAATTAGGTCTAGGCAACTACACATCAAAAGGCCAATCACAATGTATGTGAGATGACAGACACTTTTCAGCAATCCAGTGCAGTAAGTGTGATGTGCACAGAATCACAGAATAATGAGCAAGTGCTAATCAGCATCTAAAGTGCATTTAAACCTGGGAACCTCACCCAGGTGGGAACAAAATAATTGCATCTGTGCATGTCTGTGTGTATGCCAGGACTGGTTTGAGGTTGTGCAATGGTGAAGAGTTGCTAGACAGAATGAAGGCTAAACACGCAGGGTATCAGCGAGGAACGTCAGATCACTCCAGTCAATCGAAATAATGCCTTCTTGTTTCCTTCACTTGCTGTTCAGTTTTTATCTCAGCATTTGAAAGCAATGTCTGACTCAGGACTCACACAGTGCCTACCTGGCTACTCTTCCTCTCAGGTCTCCGACGCCAGCTGTGTTTTTCTGGTCCATGTTTTGAACAGCGTGTGCCACTCCAGAGGTGACAGAGTCCCGCTGGGCCATCTCTTTCTCTAATTCCTTTACCCAGAACAAAGACAGCATGTTTCACATTTGTTAAAAAAACGATGTGACTGTTTTCCCAGCAAATTAAGTGAAAAAACAGATGAGGAAGTACATGATTTGTTTGGAAAGTACCAGCAGGCAGCTTCAGATTTGAACTAATTATGCAGCATTCAATATTTCAAACAATGATAGCCTCTAATCATGCTAATGGCCCATTTGGTATACACTAATGAAGCTGAATGTTTCATTCCGGTGCCCTACTTCTGTAAGGCAGCTTTCAGAGAGTGGTTTGATGTTCTGCTCAGTGAAAGATGACTCCAAACACCCTCACACTTGTTCCGCGAGACTAAGATCCGTGTACTCTTTTGCAGTTCTTCTGCTTGACTGTCAGGAGAATAGCTGTTAGAATTTCAACGCATAACTTGAGAGTATTTCGTTAACCACATACTGTGCACATGATCACTTTATGCTTATACAGACAAAATGTGCATGAGCTGATGATGGCGAGAAGTCAAGTAGGCTTTATTTGAACACTGCACCATTCTATCAGGTGTAATCAAATCAGCTGGGAGTTTGTGGGCATGAGTTGGCGTGGGTGTGCTGCACATCAAACAATACAAGGAGAAGAGAACAGCCAGAAAAGGAGACAATCAGCACATATGCTTGACTTCACCCACCTAAAAGACGTACAGCATATTCCACACAAAACAAGAAAAAGACTTACACAATACTTTAATACGTAAACATGCATGCAACAGCACTTTTCACAACTTACTTCCACCACCTTGCATACCTGTATGCCCATGCTGAGTTGTTTAACAATACGTGTAATGGTGAGTATGTGATTCTCCAACAGCTTGCGGGACAGTGCCTCAATTTGGACAGAGCCATGGCTGGACTGCAGACCAGCTGTCACCTCCTCTTTGATTCTGAGAGCTTGTTCTAGCAGCACAGCTAGCGGCCTATCCTGACTCCTCAAACGACCTTCCAAGACATCTGGCCTTAATCAGGAAGTAAACAAAAAAATATCAAGCTTATAATGTTTTAGAAGCTCTTTGTTGGGGTTTTTAGTATTTAGAAGATGCAAAAACATGTGTTGCAAATATTGCAAAGTCATGTTGAAGAAGAAAAAAGTCATTTTAAAGTGCAATTCTACAAAGAGTTGATCTACTAAGAGAGAGAATGAAGATGGATTGAAATGTTGTACATTGGTTTTCATGCCCTTGGGTTCTGTCTTCATGTCCCTGTGCATGCTGTGTTGGACCTGTCTGAGGCTGTTGTGGATTAAGGATTCATTTTATCAGTTTGATTCACAGCAGTGTTCGAAAGGTTCACAACCTTAATTCAATCCCATCAGCGAGCGGTCGCGCACATCTTATTCACCTCTTAAGCGCAGATCGGATTTTAAACTGAATTAGCAACCCACACAAATTGAAAGTGAAAAGTAAATGACTGCAATATACTGAATGTATGCACTGAATATGGATATGTGAATGAGAAAGGTTACCTTGTGTGACTCTGTGTGTCAGACTGATGATGAGACATCCTTATTGTCTACAAAGAGATATGTATGAAATATATTAGTGTGATAGTTTCCACTCAAATATCCTCCTTATCATTCTTTTTGTTAAAATAAGCATATTATATATTCTATCTTTCACTGGGAGCATCACGAGACATTTTGAACATTTTTGATAAAGACTTTAAACAAATGTTGCTATTTTTTTATTTGTCATATAAGAATACTCACAGGTCTGTGCTGTTCTTCAACCAGCTTTAGAGATTATGTGTTTGTGTTGTCACTTGGTAACTGTGGTCTCCTTTCATGGGGGTGTGCCTGCCTGCCAGTGTGAACAGTCTTGCAAAAAAAAAATGCATTGTCTATGTGGCGAGGCAGTTTAACTCTGCAAAATATTTGATGACCAGAAAGCGTGAAACATAGTTGTAATTCGTAGAAATGTTGCTGAGAAACTGGTCAGCCTTCTTAGCAGCAGTTCTCGTGACAACATACCTCAAAACACCAGCTTTTAAAAAAGCGGTTATTGAGATAACCTAATACCCTTTTCAATTTTTTGCTGTTATTTTTCATCCCAACTTTGATAGTTTGTATCGCCTTCAAATATTGCATTTGACACTCCAGTTCCCTGGAGTTTGTCTTACTGCTAATAGTTTAAAATACAGTTTAATCCAGGCTCTTTGCACTGGACCACGAAAGTGCATCATTAAAGCTCCTCTCTATTAGTCCTACAAGCCAGAAAATGCTTATCGTGGAGAGCTTTAAATAAAGCTTAGGGTGGGCAATGACTGTACAAATACAAATGCTCTGTAATTTAATTAAAATCCAGAGTCACTAAATCCCTTTATTACACTGATAAAAGTAAGACAGACTCCCCCATGGATCGCTTGGATTTGCTTGTTCCTGTGGGAACAAGGGTGGCAGACATGTTTTTTGATTGGAAACACTTCAAATTAAATAAAAAAGCAAGCTCAATCCTGTGTGGCTTCTTCGGTGAAGAACTTAACCTTAATTTATTGAGGCTACCAACAACAAGGAACCGCTTGTACCAGATAGGTCAGGTTCTAGACTGAGCCCGTGAAACACAACATGTGATTATTTGTACAAGGCATACTCAACTCAATTTAAAGGCTTGACCCAACCCTAAGTATTTTGATTCAGGTGAACAGATCGGATCTCTGCTTCGTTTAATCACAGGATACACAGTGTTTCAAGTGTGGTAGTGGCTCTGAATTAGATGTAGTTATACTCATGAAAGAAAATATTTCATGTCTATGTATCTCTCTCCCTCTCTGTTACACACACACAGTGGATTAGTCTCTTATCAATGGGATCAAGGTCATTAATTAAGAGGAAAGGCCTTCTCAGAGTAGACTCATCAGTTTTCCATGGAAGCCCTATAGAAAAGCCTGGGAGCCGAAAGGGACAGTTTGGCTTACACCACGATTTACTTAACTTAAAGAGACGTTGAGAGCATTTCACCATCCTGTTAGCTGTAAATGAAAATGGTTCATTTTGGGAGATGACAGAAATTTCAAGCAAAGAGAACCTGAATCTCTAATCCATCCCCGAATTCATGGCACAGCACCAAAGACTGATGATAATTTTCTGATTAATCCGTGTTCTTCATTCTTACTGTCTCTGTGTGTTTGTTTCTAAGAGAGAGAGGACACAGTGCTAAACAGGAGGGCAGAGAACAGCCAGCGCTGAAACAAGGGCCGGGGGGTGGGAGACGTAATGAGTTATTATACATCAGCGCAGCAACTAAAGAGAGAGCTGAGAGAGGGGAGGCTGCTCAGTGATGCCTGCTCGCTGCTGCACGTGGGTGATAACATTCAGTGAAACATATCCAGACTTGCTTAAACAGCGCGAGACCATCCATGTGACAAAGGGGACATCAAGTCTCTGTCTGCACAGCTTTCCCAAGGTCAAAAAAGTGGAGGGTTAAAAAAAAATGCACGTATGATAAAGTACTGAAATACAAAGATATAAACTCAGATGGGAATGACATGGGACCCACAATTAAATTATAAACATCTCCACGAGGCACTGTGGGGTACTGTTATGCAATCGCCAGCATACAGATTACCCAGTCAAGTGACACGGTTGGCCAGAGGGCGGCGTGGTGCACCCTTCGTCCTTCATTTGAATACAACAATTAATGGGTAAGTTTGCTTAACCCCTGGTTAAAAACCGTGGACGAGAGTCAAAGAAAAGCGGGCGAATAATTTTAAAATCTCTTACGCAATCGCGATGAAGTCACAGCACGTGCTCCAACTTTCATCGCTGAGGTGAGATATCTTAAATCTTACATGAATTCTTGCCTTCCTTCTAACTAGCCCACTGCACAGTGGGACATAAAAATTTACAGAATAGTCTGCAGAGGCATTCTGCAAGGTTCGCGGGAAGATTGACACCCTCCTTCATCGTCGCACAGCGCGTTTCGTTCTTGGCGCTCTAAAAACTGATCATCAGTGGAAGTGCACCCGAGCCGCAGCTGCCCAACTGTGACATCCGTCCACTATACAGAGTGTGCTCAGGCTGGCTGGCTGCTGCACAGGCACAATGGAGCAAAAATCACCGAAACACGAGAGCACAGCCAAGGGGCAAGAGTCCTTGTCCTACCAGCGGAGAATGTGGAAGAATTTCCAGGAAAAAACCAAGCCGTGGCTGAGCCCGAAACTGGGATCAGAGCGTCGTGGTGCCGGGGGCGCGGAGGGCAGCAAGAAGGAATCGGGGCTTTGGATGTTTAAGAGAAAAAAGAAACAGCTGGACCGGGTATTTTCATCGTCGCAGCCGAACCTATGCTGCTCTACTCCGGCACCTTTTGAGGGAGACAAGGCTCTCGGAAGCGATGCGGTTCCTGGGACCAGCAGCGGCGGAAAGCCTCTGCTACAGCCTCTTGGCACGGCTTCTGGGGCCACGGGGAGCAAACCAGAGCTCACGGCGCACGGAAGCCCAAAACTCCCGATGTCCCAGCTGATGGTGTACCAGCAGAAGAGCTCCTCTCTCGGCTCAGCGTGCTTCGAGAAGCTGGTGGTGGACCCGGCCGCTGTGACGGGAGAGGAGGAGCAGCTGCGTAAAAACGCAAGTGATTCTGTGAGTAAAGACTCGTGTAGTCCCAAACGCACATAGGAGCTTTTCTGTTGTCGTACTGTTTTTTTCCTCTTTCCCCCCTAAAGCCTGAAAATAGAAGACAGCAGGCAAGACTTTATTGATTTGCTAATTCAATAAACGAGACAAGTTTCATGATTGTGCTGATGCGACGTCCCACTGCCTCTATGCACTCATCTGTTTCCAGTCCGCTGATTTCTTTACTGTCTCCACCATCGAGGACTGTATTGGCCAAATATATACATCCAGTTTCGTTGTAGATTTATGTGGTGATCATAAACAACCGCCCACCTTACAAGCTAATTTGTTTTGTATCATTTTATCATCACAGTTTCTCCATATACGTCGAGCAGATCAGCTGATTTCAGTTTCAAGTCTTTCCTGGTAGGGTTTTTAAACAGACAGCATGCTCTGATGCCATTGGCTTTGTTTAGCCTGCGCACAAACGTTTCTTTCAGAGGGACTGTCCCCTAGACTCACGACCATCTGTCTCAGTGTCCTTGCCTTTAGACAGAGGCTGCAACAGGCCCGTGCATACCCACAGGTTCATCCTGTCTTTTTTGTTTTCATGAAAAGTGGCTGGTTGTCAAACCAGCGGCACTGCTGGAGATTGATGGCAGGTATATTCCCACACCACACATCATGCTGAGTCAGGGTGCCCCAAGAGAAACCATATGGCAGCAAGCATGAAGGCTAATGGTAACGATTGCATTCACAAAAATCATTCAGCCCAAAACATCAGAGAGAAAACTTTAAGTTTTTAAGTTTCAGTCAAATAAAATGGAATGTCATTTTCAAGTTATGTTGTCATAATATTAAATCTCATGAGAACAACGCTAAAGATACAGCATGCATAAAATCATATAGGCACCTTTTCTTTCACTTGCTCCAAAGCTTTTCATCTCATCATTTTTGAAGTGCTCCAGACTTTTCTGAGCATCATCCAGATTGCTGTCTGAAAGTGATTAAGCACATTAGCACACGTTTCCCTACAGAGGTTGGCAAAAGCTCTGTTATCCATTAAATCTGTATAGGAAAAGTGCACCATGCTCAGCTATAGAGGTAAATGAAAGAATGCAGTGACTTCATTGAAATTGATCTTACAGCTTCGTCAATAAGCCTTTCAGTTACATAATGTGGAGAAATGTCATTTTGCCAAATAAAGTTGCCGCATTCAAGCAATAGTTACTTCCTATCGCTGCCATCTTTATCCAAGTTTTTTTAGTCACTTGTTGGCCCTTTCCTTTGCCCGAGAAGAAAGCAGTGGCATAATCTTCCGAGGTTATAGTGCAGCGTTATTGTTCTGTCTTATTAGTTTTACTGTATACCTCTATACCAAATAGAGTACAAAGTGCATGATCTGGATCTAATAGTGGAACTAGGAATGGAAAAAAGTGCAACATGAGATGATGGGTGATGAGAGGAAGTAAAAGTAATGAAGACAGATCTAATGGGGTTACAGGTAATGAGACATGACTAGGGGATGAGTTGAGACCACATGAGATAAGATGATATGAAGTGGGAAAAGAGCAGATTAAGATGAGATGCGAACAAGTGAAGAGACAGGAGATGAGGACAGATGAAGTAGGATTAGGTTTGCTTCTTTAATACCTGAGGGAAAAATAGTTAAAAACAAAAAACACACTGACAAATAATCTAGCTTTGCATCATCATGCATTTGCACGTGCATTTTCGTGCATACACCCCTGATTGCACAGGTTTGATGATGCATTTGTGTTTCCTCAGCCAACAGAAAATGTGACACTAAAAAATGTACTTTTACTGTTAGAATAAGTATTCTAGCTAGCATTTCATAAATGAAATAAGAGAATATGTAACATGAAAATTCATTTTGTAATTTGATTTGGAAAGTGAGAGATGTAAGGGATTGCTGCCAAGCTCTGTGAGTAATTTCATTGTTGACTCAAGTGCATTTAACTTTGCTGTTTTCAATGCAGTGGAGAGGTTTGTGAAAGTTTTTCTATATGTGTTCGCAGTGGCTGCAGCAAACATGACTGATATTTGTGACATTAAGTTTCAGCGCCCTTTACATCATATTCATTTATTTTTTTAAAACATATCTATGAGTTGCGATTTTACTTTTTCCTCTTTCATTCCATCTGCACTCACTGGGTTGGACCCTCTTTTGCTTTCACAGTCGACTTAGTTCTTTTTGGCATAGATTCAACATGGTCCTCCAAACATTCCTCAGAGATTCTGGTCCATATTAACATGACATGACAGTTGGTGTGGATTTGTTGGCTGCACATCCATGATGTGAAACTCCTGTTTCGTCACATCACAGAAGTGCTCTATTGGATTGAGATCTGGAGGCCATGGAGACCAGCTGAACACAGTAAACTCATTGTTATCTACAAGAAACCAGCTTGAGATTATTTGAGCTCTGTGATATGGTGTGTTATATGTTGGAAGCAACCACGAAAAGATGGGTACATTGTTGTAATAAAGGAATGGACGTGGTGTGCAATGATACACTGGTAGGCTGTAGCGTTTAAATGATGCTTCACTGGTACTAAAATACATAGAATGTCTCAGACATCCTCCTCAATATTACACCACCACCAGAAGCCTGAACCATTGATAGAATGCTTTTATGAAGATCAGCCACTGTCTTTCTAATCTTCTGTTGTCTAATTTTGGGGATCCTGCAAACCGTAGCCTCAGTTTCTTGTTCTTAGCTGACTGGAGTGACTTGGTGTGGTTTTCTGCTGCTGTAGCCCATCTGCTTTAAGGTTAAGCATGTGATGCATTCAGAGCTAAAAGTCAGCACACCTTGGTTGTAACATGTGGTTATTTGAGTTACTGTTGCCTTTCACTTTGAAACAGCGCGACCATTTTTCTCTGACCTGGTTTTTACCCAGAGACCTTCTGTTGACTTTTCAATCATTTTCTGTAAACTCTATCTTGACTGTGTCTACATTCCTAAATGCGCTTAGTTGCTGGTATGTGGCAGGTCGTTCATATATTTGCATTAACAAGCAGTGCAGCAGTTGTACCTAATGAACAGATCAGTGAGTGTATATCCTAATAGGGTTTGATAGATTTAGATGTTTCTTGTATGTATGTGTGTTTGAACTGAAGCAAATGGGTCATCATTAACCAAGTCACTAAGTCAACTAACTCATTAACTTAAAGCGTGTTGGTATTTCTGCTGCCTTTTGCCCGTTTGTCACAGCAAAAGGCAGCAGAAAACACTTGTGCTTACATCACATTTTTTTTAAACTTCTTCCTTCCTTTTATAGATATGTGCTTTAGTAGTCCTTGACTGATGCGGTCATGTTTCTAACCTTCAGTCTTGCAGAGTAACCTTTCACTCATTACCTGACTGAGCGGCAAGACGCCTGATGTCAAGTACAAAATAATAATATCGACTGGTATGACTCAGGATTTGTGTATATTGTACTCTAATCTGATCTGAAAGTAAAACATAAGATGGAGCAATTAAAAACAAATAAAAAAAATCCCAAATCATCTGATTAAAACCTCAAAGAATACATTTTAATATTTTGAGAATAAGAAGTTACTTTTTTTCAGAAAGTGCTTGTAGTCCTCATATGATTCAGTTGTTTGATTTCCATTTAAAAGGAAATCTGTATACAAAGCTTTTTGGAAAATGCAAACTTAAAAGTGTGCACTTGTGTGAAAATAAAACATAAATGACATTGTAGAAATAAAGCATCTTAAATTTTTGCCCGACTGTCTGTCTGTCTGTCTGTATTATTATGTGAAAACTAGCTCTCAATGCGAAGTAGG